CACTATTCTATATATAGTATGGGGGAACACCAACCAACCCGGATCCCTCCCCAGCCCACAGGGTAGGTTGGCACCACAGCTGTGGTGCGAGGGCACGGCTGTACCAGTCCCTCATCACGGTGACGAGGGGTGGGCAGGCATTGTCGATGGGGGAAATCGGCGGTGCTAGCGCCGAGCAATTGCCTGTCACTGCACCTCCCCCTAAGACCACTCGAGGTCTTTTCAGGAAAGGCTCCTGACCTCCTCATCCCACCCCTCCCATCCCCCCGTGATTCTTCCAAGAAACCCCGCCCATTTTCTGTCTCCCCCCGCTCGACCCCCTCCTCTCGTGTTGTCAGCCGGCCAGGAGGTCACCTTCGTCCCCGTGTGCAACGGTGATTGTATGTCTGGGTAACCGCAGCAACAGGAACTACTGACAGTCTGCAATCGAGGGGACTAAGGACCTACAGGGGAGTATAACAGTCCAGGGATCAGACTGGGAACGACTGCTACACTGAGTATGGGGGGGCATGGGACGACAGACAGCGAGAGATTGGGGTTTTTCAGAATAAGGGACAGGACACCGAGCCCAGGGGCTTCAGGGGAATTTGTTGGGTTAACGATCCTCGTAGAATAGCCAAGATCATACAGGGGGCTGCGGACACCTGGGAGTTCTTTCAAGTACATCAGTTGCTAGCTTCTAGGTGGAGGCTGGGTCGGTTGCTAAGTAGGAGCCCTGGAATGGGAATGGGATAATTCGCAGCTCCAAGGGACAGGGTGCTCCACAGTAGAAAGGAAAAAAAAAAAAAAAAAAAAAAAAGACTGCAGCCTCAATACTGGCCTGTATCGCTTTACCGAAGGGACGCTGGACCCGGTTTCCAGCAGGGTTCACTTTGGCTGGTTCAGAGAGGATGGGGAAATGGAAGGGGTAAGCAGGGAGAGTAGGTAGCTGTGCATTTTCTCCCTGCCTAGCCTCACTCACTATAGGCTTACTAGCTTGCATTCATTTTAAATTCCAATCGCATGTCTGTTAGCAAAACTATTACAATGTACAGGGACGCTGGACCCGCTTTCCAGCAGGTGCTGCTCCCCACCCATAGATGGAGCCTCCCCGGCAATACTAGCGGTGCCTGCTCTTATCAGCACCCCTAGTATCAGCCTGGGATGATTCGTGTAAAAAACAAAAAAAAA